CTACGTCGAAACCGTGCGACTCCTTTCATGTTGAAGTCGTGTTGCATATTTTGGTTCCCCGCCCAGGCGACCCGGGCACGGGCAAGTCGCAGTTCCTGCGCTTCGCGGCCAAGGTCGCGCCGCGCTGCGTCGTGACGACGGGCTGCGGCACGACGTCCGCGGGGCTCACGTGCTCCGCGGTCAAGGACGGCGGCGAGTGGACGCTCGAGGCCGGCGCGCTCGTCCTCGCGGACCGCGGCGTCTGCTGCATCGACGAGTTCAGCGCGATCAACCCGCGCGACCGCGCGGCGATCCACGAGGCCATGGAGCAGCAGACGCTGAGCGTCGCCAAGGCGGGCCTCGTCTGCAAGCTGAGCGCGCGGGCGACGGTCATCGCCGTGACGAACCCCCGGGGCAAGTACGACCGCAAGGCGGACCTCTCCGTGAACACGTCGCTGCCGCCGCCGCTGTTGAGCCGCTTCGACGTCGTCCTCGTCATCGAGGACGACCCGGACGAGGCCTGGGACCGGGCCGTGTCCGCGGCCGTGCTCAACACGCACCTCGCGCCGGGGCTCGGGGCCCTCGAGACGTACGACCCCGCGGAGCGCGGCGGCGGCGGCGCGCCGCGGCGGCGGCGGCGGCGGCGCGCGCCGCCGCGGCCCGACCCCTGGCCCGCGGAGCGGCTGCGCACCTACGTCGCGCACGTCAAGGCGACGCTCGCGCCGGCGCTCGGCGACGGCGCGTCGGCGCTGCTCGAGGCCTACTACGCGGCGCAGCGCGCGGCGTCGCGCGGCGGCGGCCGCGCGACGATCCGCATGCTCGAGTCGCTCGTCCGCGTCGCGCAGGCGCACGCGCGGCTCATGCACCGCGACGTCGCGTCGACGCAGGACGCCGTCGTCGCCGTGCTGCTCGTGGACAAGAGCATGATGGAGACCGCGGTCTTCGCGGCCGTCGCGGAGCCCATCGCCGACCTCGCGACGACCGACGACTCCGACGCGTACTACGTCTTCCAGCAGGCCGCCGTCCTCGACGCGCTCGGGCTCGAGCCGGCGGACGGCGACGCGCTCGTGCGGAGCGGGGGCGAAAGTGGGGGCGAGGGCAGCCCGGGGTAAAGCTGTCGATGTTTGACCGCGTGCCAGTGGGCAGCCCACTCGATGTGACGGAGATTTTCATCCGGGCCCGAGACGCGCGGCTGTGTTGACATCGAAGCCGACTGCACTGGCAGCGAGGGGCAGCCCACGATGAGACGGAGATTTGCACCCGAGGCGCGCGGCTGCCAGCTCGAGTGCCTCACCGTTCGACGCCGGTCTGAGAAATCCTCGATGCGATGAGGCTCGTCGCGCTCTGGCTCGCGCTGGCGCCGCCGTCGCTCGGACGCAAGTCGAACGAGCGCACCTGCCGGCACGGCGAGACGACGTTCTGGCCGCCGACGACGCCCTGGGCGTGCAACAAGGTCTTCGGCGACGGCTTCGACCCGTCGCCATACGCGCTGCTGCCGCGGAACGCGGCGAAGCCGCGGCGCCTCAAAGGCTGCCGCGCGCTCTTTCCGGCCGGCACGGGCACGCTGTCGCTCTTCGAGACGCTCGCGCGGTCGAGCGCGGGCGGCCGCGGCGACGTGTCGCATCTCCACGAGCGGCGGTCCTCCGCGTCGGCGCCGTGCCACGTGATGACGCTGCGCGACCCGGCCCATCGCCTGGAGTCGGCCTGGCGCTTCCACTCGAACCCCTACCGCGCCGAAGACATCGACGACTTCTTCACGCCCGTGCGCTGCGGCGAGGACGACCGCCGCAAGTTCGAGGAGCCCTACCGCAACGCCGTCTGCGCGACGCGGCACTGCCGCCGCCGGGGCGACTGGACCATCTTCTTCCTGTCCCAGGTCGACTATCTGCGCGACTTCGACGCGGGCCGGAGCGAGCTCTTCGTCGTGTGCCAGGAGAGCGTCGAGGCCGACGTCCGCGCGCTCGGCGCCGCCTTCGGGGAGCCGCTCGAGCCGCGGCACGCGAACAACCGGTCCCGGGTCAAGCACCCGGAGGGCAAGGGGAATTCGACCCTCTCGGCCGCGAACGCGGCCTTCGTGCGCGAGCAGATCTACCCGTGGGACGCCGCGCTCCACGGCGCGCTCTGCGGCGACCTCCACGGCCTCACGCGCGAGGCCGCGGCCGCGCGCGGCGAGCCGCCGCCGCCGTCGCCGCGGGGCACCTGCGCGGGCAAGCTGCCGAAGCCGAAGGGCGGGAAATAAAGGTCAATGTTGGCTACAACTTGCAGTACAACGACTCAGGCTATACTGCGGCACGGGCGCAATCGATGCGCGCGTGTGAGTGCGAGCAATGTTGGCGACAACTTGCAGTACAACTTGAACTGCTTCGCGGCGCCGCAATGCGCGTGCCATCAGGGTCGCACATGGTTATGACGCACACGAGAGCAATGCATCTCGTCGCGGCGGCGTGCCTCTGCGCCGCGGCTTGCGGCCTCGCGCCGACGCCGCGGCCCTGGCGGCCCTACGCCGACGCCGGCGCGCCGCCGCTCAAGGACACGCAGTGCGTCCTGCGCTTCGTG